TCAGGACTGATCAATTTGATCTCTAATAACATTTCTTGAGTGAAACAAGCGAGATTTCATTGAACATCTCACAAAAGCTATCATTTCATTGTGGGACTACTTGGCATACAGTCATGGCCTATGTTGGCAAAAGGTTATATTCTGGATTCATCATAGTGCAAAAGAGTTGAATGCAGCACATTATTCACTGGGTGTTAATTTGATCATTTTCAGGCCACCTTCAAAGGCTGGATGGAAATCATGTACGCCGCTGTGGATTCGCGAAAGGTAAGTGCAACAAAATGGATGGTGCTTTTTCCACTATGTTGAGGCATCAGTGATATCCTAAGTGACCAATATAAGCAGCAGCTTACATCTCTCCTCCATTCTAGAAGTGTTGCGATGCTCAAAGGAAACCAAAAATGAACCTTCGCAATGTTGTTTGGGTAAAGTCACTTGGCTATACAAGGCAGGTTTGATGCCAGGTCTGTGCTGAGTTAAAAAGGTGCCAGCCTGGGCACCATATTATACCACCTGGTTGCCCTGGGCAAGAGGTACATAAAATCAGCCAGCATTTCTCGTCCTGCTCAGTGTTGGATACCCTGCTGGAAAATGCAGTTGGCTGGCCAGGAGGTAAAACCAGAGTACGCAGCCACCTTTGGACCTGCTCAATGGTTAGTTACGCTGCTGGCTGTCCATGGCAGAGGTTGTCGGGTCTTCGCTTGTAAATCTGCCCTGCTGACATGTCAACACCTTCTGGGGTGGAAGCAAAAGGTGACAACACATTCTGTTTACATGATTGTGGCAATTCCTAACATAGGAATTCAGGCATGACCAGAGATGTGCACCTGGACCCTGCAGAAGTCTTGGCAGCCTAACCTCCATGGGAATGACCTCGGAAGTTTGAACTTCTGGTGTTGCAATACCTCTGCTCCCTGGGACCCTCTGAAAAAGTCTCAAAATCCTGAGTTTGATTAGGAAACCTTCAACAGTTCTGATGTACTTACCTGGATAGTGACAGAGAAACATTCGGCTCAGTCCTGGACAATGACACATCTGTCTCCCTCCCTCCCGAACCTGCCAACCAAACATTCACATTGCCCCATTAATCCCTCCTTTCCTCCCTCCTCCTTCCCCGCCCCCAGCCACCCGACTACAACGCCAAACCGACTGGACTATCAGCCACCTCAAGACCCCCTCCTGTCCCAATCTGACTACCTCAAACCAGTCTCACTTACCACCCGATCCCTGTCCATACTACCCTCCTGCCATACTGCCCATCTTGCACCTTACTCTCTGGTGGCCTTGCACCTAGAATTACAATCCCAACTGTGATGGTCCTGCTTACTAAGAGCTACCGGCCTCTGATGTCGGGGATTCCCAAGTGCCCAATCACTTGGAGGATCCAAGAAGTTTGTTGATATCTTCTGTTTTCAAATTCCTCCTTGATCTATCTTTGCATTCCCCACCAGTCCCACAACTCTCTCAGATCTCTGTACTCCTCTCGTCCTGGCCTCTGGAGCTTCCCTGATTTGAATGGCTTCATCATTGGTGACCTTGCCTTCAAACTGCCACGTTCAGAGCTCTGGAACTCCTGCAGTAAACCTCTGTCTCACCCATTAAGAGGTTTCTTCGAAGCTACCACTTTGGGCAAGCTTTTAATCATCTGCCCCTATATATTCTCATGCAGTTTGTGTCAAATGTTGCATCATATTGAAACTGCTTTGACATTTTATTGCAATGAGGGCGCTGTGGAAATTTCAGTTGTCGTTGTAGGGTCAGTAGATATGCCGTGTGACTGGGAGGTCTTCCTGAACCCTGCCCTGATCTCTCTCTGTCCTGCAGTCCAGTCAGCTGTACCTGGCACAGTGGGTGGCAGGATGGGAGGGTCTCTGGACGAAAACATAAATAAAAATTTGGGAATCTATTGAAAGGTCAGGCTAATTGGTTAGCAATATTGATAAAGCAGCCATTGACAGGAGATGCTTCAGTAACAGTGTTCAGACAGTGAAATCACAGTGGATGGAGTAAAACAGCAACAAGGGATACAGCACTCTGACTGAGGTAGACTACAGATAGCCTGCTAACAATGAAGAAGTAGGCAGGGTGTATAAAAACAGTGATTAGCAAAACACGACACGAAGACAACATGGTTTTAACAGGTAATTTTAATTACTGCAATGACTGAGAGAAAAGCTACTTCACTCAAGTAGTGATAAATTGAATAGATTTGAGGCAGTTTTCCAGAACAATCTGTGCTGGAACTGCAATAAGAAATTGCTGGAGAAACTCAGCAGCATCTGTGTAGAGAGAAACAGAGTTAACATTTCTAGTCCGATGTGACTTCTTCAGAACAAATAACATCTGGGGAAAAGTGGTATTTATCTTAATGACAAGGAGTGGGGGTGGGGGAAGAAGGAATGAGCAGATAGATGGAGACAGAGTCCAGAGAGAAACCAAAAAGGATAGGCAGACAAAAGGATTATGGATAACAAGCTACAGAATAAGAGAAGCTCAATAGGTGATGATTGGGACCATGAGTGGGTGAGAATGGGTTGGCTATGCTGAAAGCAGCCAATGTGATGACAGGGCCTGGGGTGTTGGAGGTGGGTAAAGGACATGGAAAGGGGTGCTCAGACTCTAAAATTATCGAACTCAATATTGAGTCCTGAAGGCTGCAGGGTCCCTAAGTGGAAAATGAGATGCTGTACTTCCACCTTGTGCTGAGCTTCATTGGAACGCTGCAGCAAGTGCAAGATTGAAATGTTGTGGTGTGTTGAAGTGGCAGGCAACTGGAAGCTCAGGATCATTTTTGTGGACAGAACGTAGGTGTTCTGTGAAGTGGTTACCCAGTCTGCACTTCATTTCCCCAGTGTAGAGGAGACCAAATTGTGGGCACTGAATACAGTAGACTAGATTGAGTGAAGTACAGGTAAATCACTGCTTCACCTGGAAGGTGTGTTTGGGCCCTTGAATACTGAAGAGGTAAACGGCAGGTGTCTCACCTTCTGCGATAGCATTGCTAGGTGCCATGGTGCTATGGAATGATGTTGGGAGTGGAGTGTAAATGATTAATTGGAGGTCTATTATTGTTCACAAGCCTGCTGGCCTAGATAATGCACTACCCATGCCATGACACAGCTGGTGGGTGTTGTAAGAGATGCCCACAGTGGCACCCGATTACGAACGGTTCCTCTTTGGGTAGATACACTACCACCAATCCCGCTTGTAAGTACTAGTTTGGATTCTTTCTAATAGTAAGTGATGAAGGCTGACCATATGACATCTTGGCTGATGAGGCTCATTCTTGAGTAACAAGAACAGTTTATTACACACTATGAAGACAGGAGATACTCTATGTAATTTGCTAAGAGAATGCCACCTGATGTTGTGGTTATGGGGCTGGCGTGTTGTGGTTATGGGGCTAGCGTGTTGTGGTTATGGGGCTGGTGTGTTGTGCTTATGGGGCTGGTGTGTTGTGCTTATGGGGCTAGCGTGTTGTGGTTATGGGGCTGGCGTGTTGTGGTTATGGGGCTGGCG